TCTGGATGCTACCCACTGAGGACACTTGGTATACATTGGACGAGCAGTATGGAGGAATATTGAAACGTTTTTTTTGGACTTTTATGGACCTTTCTGCCTCGGGCACCATAGACCTCCATTATTTGAATGTCAGCAGACAGCAAGAAGCCTCCCAGATCTCCAGATGCATTTGAGATATCAAAAAAGTACTCTAGAGTGTTGTTCAGCATGGGGGTGAGTAGAAAATGAAGGCTAATCATGTTTTGGGTGTACTATTCCTTTAAGTATGTTTGCCAATCAGCATCAAGCGCCAGCTTCATAGACCCGCCCCTGCTCCATAGACCCCCTAAGGTTCAACTTCACTGGAGGTGACACATTTTGGCATGTTATCAAATCAGGCCTCTTCTCTCTTGCTGCTTGCCTCAATAGACCAAGGCTCAAACCTCAACAGGGATATCTCATAGAGGCTGACAGGCTCCTGCTGCTCCATAGCAAATGGGGAGTTGCACCCTAGAGCGGAATACTTCTGGATTAAAGCGCAACATACTCAGGAAATTAGGCACATTTTAGCGCATATTTAATGCAGCTTAATGACTACATTTATGAAGTTTGACAATGCACATTTTACCAATAATTTTACAAAAATTAACAGAGCAGTTTTAGTCTCTCTAGTATCTAATGAGAAATTGCCGCAGTGACAAAAATTTTTTTTTCAAGAGTGGTAGAGTTTTGTCTATTGGTTTCCAAGAAACTAAAATATGTATCATCAGATAATGTACATGCCTGGCTACTATTGTTTAGCATACATACTTGAAACTGGAGCAAAGTAGACCACAGGGAACTCAAACAATGAGAAAACAAGTCTAAAGTACAGATGCAGTCACGTAACCTGTAACATGTTACTTTCACTTTTGAATGAACAAGGACAGGTGAAAGAAGCTTTTCGATTCAGTATCATCTTAGTAAAGGTGGATGTAAATTCAACAAATTTTCTCAAAATTAGAAAAAAAATATGAAACAAGAGCTGCATTTGCCATTTGTGTTACCCCTTCATTCTTTCTTGTTCCTCCCCATTTGTCTCATCAGTCACTGGTTGTGTCAGTTATCTCACTGTCACAAAAGAGACAACTGGCAGCTTTATTGGCTTTACTTATCTAATTTGGAGATGTTCAAACTTTATAACTTAAAACGTAAGAAACCGGTTTTCCAACAAATTCATTTTGATTACATGTGACAGACAAGCACAAACTTGCATCACTACAAAGCTCTAGTAAGTCTAAGATAATAAAATGTAGGTTACTGAAGGGTGTGGCATGCCACTACATGAGTTCTGCATCAAAGTCCAACTGTAAGTAATTTGATCTTAGTTTAAATAATGCTGTCCTATAAATTTCTCAGAGGTTTGTCAAACAACATTAGTGAACTACCAGCACAGACTTCTGCCAAGCATCACATTTTACCCCAAATTGTGATATTAATTGACATGAGGGACACCTCTGATAATTAAACTAAAATCCTTTCATAAATTTTGCAAGTTACAGTTCAACTGGCAGTTAAGAAGTTAAGTTGTAGACAGGATCAGAGCTGGCTTAGCTATTGAATTAATATCCCAATCTGTGACAGAGCTACCTGAATAACTGACAAAAACACAGGCATGTGCAGACAGCTCATGTGAGGCAACCACAGGGCAGGGTGGTAAAGAGAAACAGGCAGTTCAAAGAGGTTATGCTACAATATAGGGCCAACATTGATTTTATAATAGCTTGTACCTTATAATAGTTAGAATTCATTATATTATAAAAATTATCTTAAAATGTCATCAATGCTCTTAAAGAAAGACACATTTAATCTCAGCTATATCTACCTGGATAAATAAAGGCATGAACTAGGAACATTTTGAAGTCTTTTCTTGATGAGAATTGGACCTGCTGTTTAGTGTGGTGCATTTGGAATTTGGCCCAGCTCTGTGTGGCGAGTTGCTTGTTGTCTCAGTACATGCATGAGTAGTTGGATAACGCTATTGCTCCTTTAAGCTGTTTTTTTTTTCTTTCACAAATAAAACCTTACCTCACATGGAAATAATAATAGTGTTTTTTTAACTATATATTATTCTCAAAGATTTCACTATCATCTTCTAAGTAAAATGTTTTTTTTAAAGACCATTAAGACACATGGCTTTAAAAACATGTGGCTTCATATTTTGATCTTTGTGTGTTTAAATAAATCAAAGAAGTTAACGCTAAAGATGGATTTAGCTCCTCAATCTAGGGGGAGCCATCGGGGAGTAAGTGTGGTTCACACCTTCTAAGAGCTGGGATTGGTTAATGCGAAAAACAAACATTTTAAAAAACTGACACAAATGTGTAGTAATCAATGTAGAGGAACTGACCGATTATTGAATTGAGGTTAGGAAATGATGATGATGATCTTTCGGATATTAAAAATTAAACCATCTGTCCGTTTTACTGTGATTGCTCACTTACTTACAAACTGTTACATTTATCAAAATGACCATGACATGATAAAAAACCTAAGCTGAACTCAATTCACATCTTAGTCCTAAACCTAACCACCAAACTAACAAGATAATCCCTCCTTATAGGGATCATGCAATCGTCCCCACATGAACCTGTAATGTTCCTCACACACACACAAACTCACACCTAAGGGAAATTTAGAGACACCAATTAACTTAAACTCATATTTTTGGACTTTGGGAGAAATTTGGTGTACCCACAGAGAATCCACACATGGTGTGCGTGTGTGTCTCATGTTTTTAATTCATTGCGGGCCCACAATCTGCAATTTTTTTTTACAGGAAATGTAAATGTTACAATGCCTGGACCCTGCAAGAGGGAATGTTACTGGGTCAGGAGTCACATTTAGGACTAAGGGGTGAATTGAGTTGAGGCTGTGGGTAGGTTTGAACCTGTAATAGTTAGGTTTAGGGTAAGGGTCATGCTTAGGCTGTAGAAATTAATGAAAGTTAATGGAAAGGCCCCTAAAGACAGTGAGACAAGTTTGTCTGTGTGTTCTGTGGGTGCGTTAATGGCTATATGTGCATGTGTGCCCTGCCATGGACTGGTGACTGGTCCAGGATGTACCACGCCCCTTGTAATCCTGATGGATAAGCTGCAGTGGATGGATTGATTTATTCACAAGGCAAGACTTAGTCTCTGCCTTAATAATGACATTTGTTGGAAGTGTCCAAAGAGAAAGGAGAAGATGTATTCCTGGAAGTCTCATTAACAGAAAGCATCCATTTACAAAAACAATCAATATGTTACAGCAGACACTGTTTTGGAAAATGAGTGCTCAAAAGCCGCAAAAACCTTTTATCACTTCTGATAATAAAGCAGTGTCAGTGCATAAGTGTCAACTGTAATAGACTTCTTGCTTTCTGAATATTTCATATTTTCCACCTCACACCTGTCAAGTTTTAGATTTGAAAAAATAAGGGGAATTTGAATTATATTTTAAGACATGAATACAAGAACTCTAAAACAGTTGTCAACCAATTGCAAACTACAATTTGGTGATCAGATTGACTTGCGAGGCCGGAAGCATTTAGGCTTGGAGTGGAAGATCATTTTTTGTATTTTTTTTGCCTTTTTAGAATTTTGCATTACAATAATACAGGAAATTTACAAGGTACTGCTAATACGAGAGAACAGCAGGAAAGAAGGCTAAAACACGATAATTTCCCAACCAAAATGAGACTCTTGACATCTATAGAACCTTTGTTATGACTGTTATACCTACCCACGCCCTGCCCACTTCCTCTGTCATCACGAAGTAAACATCACCAGTCTACCTACAACTTTTTCAAAAACTTAACCTAACCTTATCTAAACCTATCCTCCCAGTCCAAGATTGAGTCATCATAACTTTCTCTGCATGACTTTATAACATTCTCTTTCTCAAAATTTGGAAATATCCATGTCTACATAAATGTTCACTTTAAATCGCAGGGTTACATTTCAGGGATGGTCCATTTCACATTGCTTTCAAACAGAGTTCAGTAATTGCCCGTTGTTTATTGCATTTAATCTTCAATCAGGATTACAATATGACCAAAAGATACATCTACAAAAACATCCAGGATCAAGAAGATAACTGAACCCCTCAGACAGTTTAGGAGATTTCTCTTGAGACGACAAGCAAGACAAGTCTGAGAATTAATAGGTTTTGTAGCAGGAGGTATTCTGATATCTGCTACTTTAAGGCTATAAAATTATACAACTAACCTTCAGCTTTTTAACTACAGTATGGAAAAGGGATCTGTACTAAATGTGAATTAGTTTGAAATTCCGTCAGGTATGTTTAGAATATTTAAGAATATTTTCTCTGTTCGTAGTATTCAAAAACAACAAAATGAAAGTAAATGATTAAATAGGACACAGAAGGTTCTATCACACAAATGCATAAACAAAGGAACATGCTCGGTTTGTAGGCAGGTACATTTCTTTTAATAAATGTTTTTATTAGTATAAGTATTAAATTGCATCTTACCACAAAAGAGGTCTCCAGAGTTAAGGTGTTGTTTTTGTTTTTTTTTATCCCTTCCAACTTGCTCCTCTTCTATGATTTACAGTGTTGCAAACAATACACACAGAAAAGTGTGTAATATCATACAGCCTCTAAAAAGTCCCAGCTGATTGCAAATCAGCAGTTCCTCTGTATCATCTTTACTTCATTTTGCCGACTGTGTTCCCTCCTGCTGCAGCACAGATACTCATCTATGCTATTCTGGACACATTTCCTTTAACTCGAGTAACTCCTCCCCCGGAAAACAAAGGGGAAGGGCTCAGTGAAGATACACATTATATCTTAAGTATAGAAGTTCATATGGGGATAAATACTTTGCCCTGTTTTCTTAATAGCCCCCTTCATATGTCTGTCTTAAATAAAGGGAACATTTCCTGAATTAGAAAACATTTTTCTTGTTTTGCATCAAATACATTTAAAATCATGAATATAATGGGAAAGAACAAAGACCTTGGTAAACTGTGATGTTAGGCTCCTGACTATACTTAAGAAGCTGGTCCACATTAATGAATACCAGCTGCCTGTGTTTAGCTGTTAGTAGAGTAGAAAATATAGCAGTCCTTTTTTTCTGCTTTTACAAAGGCATTTTAGTGTGTTAAAAAGACGGAATACGATAAACATGACTAAAATTTGTATATATTTTATCCAATTATCATTATTGTTGTATTTGCTTCATATGTGCATCAATAATAACACTAAAATACTGAAAATTTTGCAGTTAACAACAAACTGGATACAGTGACCTAATGTGGTCATGTTGCAAGTTAACAGGCATTCATAGGCATAGCTGCTCCTAGAAAAAGTTACTTCTTATTTATAAAGCCTGTCAAACACTATTCAAATCCACAAAAATCAAAGAAAGACACTTTCTTCCCCCAATAATTATCAATCAATGCACTGAATGCACCTAAAGTACACAGAAACTATGCATGTGTCTGCAGCTCTCACGGATAAAGCAGCAGCAAAAACAGCCATCGTACTCTGAAAATACAAAGTGGGAGTGAAACAGTGCATGCCTGAACTTTATTGTCCAAAAGTAAAACCCATCCCCTTTTCCCATTCCCAAGTGTGGGGTGTTCAAATCGCTGCACTATGCCACTTGAGTAAAACTATAGACTTCATCTGCTTGGTATGTGAGAGTGGGATGGGGGCTGGGGTGACAAATGGCCTGCAGAGTACAGCTTAGATTAAAAACAGCATGTTGAAGAATCCAGCAGACAAGATACAGGCACATTTTCTGCTGCTTGCACATACTGGGAGAACAACTGAACACCATTATCAACATAAAAGACTTGAAAAAAAGACATAAATTTAGTTCACATATTTTTAAATGCTCTATTTGAATCTAAACTTTGTGTACCGGGGGTCGGCAACCCAAACTACTCAAAGAGCCATATTGGACCAACAAAAAAAATCTGTCTTTAGCTGCAAAAAATGTAAAAGTCTTAGATAAGCCTTGTATGGTAAGTGTATTAGCCCACTATAAAAAGAGGACTATGTGGGCTTAAATATATAATAAGCATTCATGATTAAAGGTTTATCCAGGAGCAAATGTCACACCCACAGTAGCATGAGGTGACGGAGAACTTGTGAACGCTCTCACGGTGCGCTGCTTTAGTTTTTTTTTTTATAGAAACACAATAAAAGAATCTTCCTATGGTAGACGTGTTTCTGGTGGGAGGATTTGATTGAATCATGAGGAACTAAGCAGGAATTGACATCCATCAGAGCAGTGCTCACAACCATGAAATCTCACATCCTCCGTCACAAGCGTTCCTTGGTGTTATTTTTATTTTGAGGATTTGGGGAGAAAAAAATTGAAGCACAAAAGCGCTACCTATTCGATCTGTGAAGGGTTTTCCATGCTTGCAACAAAACTAGCAGCAGTAGTGGAGTTTCGAGATGCAATCCACTTTTTAAATCTATCTTTGGGCTCCTCTAATTTATTCAGAAGTTCTGCAATCACACTTTTTCTTTCACTCCCAGCTTGTTGATCGGCTGCATATTTAACCTGCCTTCCCTGGAAATGCCTTTCCAAATTACTCTTTATTCTTCTATAACTTCTCATTACAAAGCAAAACTGCAGACAATACTTCCGCATTGGTAATGAAAGCAAATGGTTCGCTCCATTCTTCTTTGAATTCTCTGTTCTCATCAGGTATCCTCCTTTTTTCCCTTTGGGATCCATGGTCAGGGATACACCCACCACTGTGTTTGCCTGGCACCGCACCATGCTGAAAAGTGTGTTGAAGGCTATGACCACTGATCTCTATGGCTATGACTCAAATTTTCATTAACAGAAATGTTTACATTTATTTATTTATTACACAAACAATTACAGCACTGTAAAACATAAAAAAAAAATTATTTGACCTCCTGCACACCATAGTAAAATAAACAAACAAAAAAAATCTAATTTTTTAAAAAAGCCCCACAGAGCGGCAAGGGTGGAGTAAAGAGACAACATTTAAACTTTACAAAAAAGTTGCACACATCAATTCCAGGCCATGATTAGCTCTACTCTAATCACCTTACTCTTTCAGATTGCCTTCGTTCCTGTGACATCATTTTAATTCATAAAGTTCTAAACTCTCTGTAGTGTGGCTGTTTTTTAAACTTTTAAACTGTGCTATCCGGGTGCTGGTGCCTACCTCCAGCTGTCTATGGGCCAGAAGTGGGGAACGCGCTGGACAAGTCACAAGTCTATCACAAAGCAACACAGAGACAAACAAGACAAACAATCTTTCATGCACACACACCTTAGGAGAATTTAGAAAAGCCAATAAACCTAACAGTCATTAATAAATAAACATAAAGCAAGAGTACCCAGAGAAAACCCATGCATGCACAGGGAGAACATGCAGAAAGATCCTAGGCCGGGAATCAAACATGGATCATTCTTTCTGCAAGGCAGCAGCGCTACCCAATGTGCCACTGAGAAGCCTAAAATTTGCTATCTTTGCTATATATATATATATATATACTTTTTTTTGTGAAAAAATATAGTAAACTGTGCTTTCTTTACTATTTTTTGTGTATTTTTTAAAATTTATTTGGTCACTAAGCACCCTGTCTTATTTTCTTTTAATATTTTTTTATGTTTATTTTTGTTGGTGAAATTGATAAATTGGTCTAAATCTAAATAGCATTATAGGTACATTTAGAGTAACCCCTTAAACACAATTAACAAGGTCTTTCAACTTCTTATTCGATAATTCAACAAATCCAGGTTTTTATCCTGCAGTCTTATATCACTTGCAAATATGTATTAGTAACACTGTTTCTACCTCTCATCTTTAATACTCACACGCATAAACTTACTTACAACTTTCAATTGCTTTTCTGCTTTGTGTCATCAAAAAAGCTCACTCTCTGATTCAAAAGGCTTTTTATTCATTTACCAAACAGCATTCATTCACAGGATTTATTAGGCTTATATTAAATGATCCACTTTTCACAACAGCAGCAAATTCACACAAGGAATACATTTAGGTAAATGTTTCCTGAAATCTGTAAAGTGATTCAAAATAAACATTTATCTGGCAAAGAAACAGGATACACAGTGCTTTTTCATTTATTTGACTATGCCTGATCATTTATGTGCTTTCTTCCTTGATTCTGAATTGAATTCAATTGTACTTTCATTCAATGTAAGTAAAATGAAAGTATATCATTCAACTTTATAGAATAAAAATATGTTTGCTGTGAAAATTATTACTTTTGTAAATGTAGAAAAACACCTCTCTCTTCATAAATACTTAGGCTTCCTAAATTATTGATCTGATTTTGAACTGAATAAACTTTCAAGGATAACATAATATAAATAATTATAATAACTTGACATTAACAGCGACAGTTTGAATAAAAAAAATCATAACAAATTTGTTTTCACTCTCTAAGACCCTGAGGGTCAGTCTTCCTCACAGTCTGCATTATGAAGAACAAAGTGTCATATTTTAAACAGGTTTATGGTCTAAACTTGCCAAACCAAAACCAAAACCTTCCTTCACATCACTTTTCAAGTTCAGTGACTGTATTCTTCAGGTATAGATGTAGAAATTTTACCAAATCCTCACATTTTCACAGGAAATAATATATTAATTCAAATAAAATTATTTAAGAAAATATCTGAAAACAGTTTGAAAAGGAAGCAGCAGTCTATGTTTCGATGCTATCTATTCAGTCTTGTTTTTGTTCATCCCCAATAGTTAACATATATTCAATTTTTGATTTGCAACCCTACAATTCCCTTTAGGATGTTTTACAATGTTAGCACTTTAATTTAATTAAGTTTATGGTACCTAATCATATACTTACCTTTGCCATTCTTCAGGTGATGCCAACTTTAAATTTAAAAGCATTATTAAATAATTTCTGCTCTATTCTCTACTCTACTCAAGAACATCTCCCTAAAGTAGTATTACTGTAATTTATAAGAACATTAACATTTCTATGTTGTTTAGCCTAAACCTGTTTTCCATGCATGGAAGCGGTGTTCTTCCATATATGAAATTGATCTACTCTAGCATGTATAAGCAGGTTAAATCTCATGTGGTCTGAAAATTTAGATTTCTCTTATTTCGTATATACTGTATTGATTTATGCTATTTACTTACTATAATTTTTTTCTCTCAGTCCATATCACCTGCAAGGCCTGAGTGAGGGGTGTTCGTAGACAAGACATACTTATTTCCATAACAAGCCAGATTCTTTCTCAAAGGTTTATTTATAACATGTCTAACCAAAGTGTCTGTAATTTGTTTTGACTCTGATTACTTTCCGTTATTATAAGTAAGGGAGAATGAACGATGCCCAGATTTGAACAGGGCTGATTACCATGCAATAAAGGCCGAATGATGAACTGTTCTCTCTTTGCAAAGATAAAATAAAGTGCAGACTAAGTAAAATCCATCAATGTCCGTTTATTTAACTGAGTTTAATAGTTGAATACTATTTTTTCAAAAGACATCTGTCAATTAAAATGTGTGAGGCACTGCAAAACAAATGCACACAATGCAATCAATATGCATGGATCTATCATCAACACAATCTCTGTGTTTGATTGTGTTCATATGATTTAAAAGAAATTGTTTATTGTGGAATTAAAACTCCCCAAACTCTAATGTCTGACTTGTTTTGAAATCTGTTCCTGGATAACATACCAAT